AAGTGGACGCCGTTGTGGCGCGAAGCACATTTCGAAGTCAAAATGTGCAGAACACATCAGCTTCGGTTGAGACGTCGAAAAAGTGAACACCTTTGTGGCACGAAGCACATTTCGAAGTTAAAAGTGTTAAAAACTAATGGTCCCGGAACACTTTTGGAAGTTGAGCTGCTGAAAAAGTGACGCCGTTGTGGCGCGAAGCACATTTCGAAGTCAAAATGTGCAGAACACATCAGTTTCGGTTGAGACGTCGAAAAAGTGAACACCTTTGTGGCACGAAGCACATTTCGAAGTTAAAAGTGTTAAAGGCTAACGGTCTCGGAGCACTTTTGGAAGTTGAGCTGCTGAAAAAGTGACGCCGTTGTGGCGCGAAGCACACTTCGAAGTCAAAACGGAGCACTTTTGATAGTTGAAAAAGTGCACACCATTGTGGCACGAAGCACATTCCGAAGTTAGACGTATTAAATACTGACGGTCTCGGACCACTTTTAAACGCTTAGATGTCGTTTCGCGTGGCAGGCGCCAGGGATTGTGCACCCTGCTAAAAAAGCACGCAAAACTTGAGGGTTTTGTAGCATTCCGAACATTCCCAAAAACGATGGCAAGCGTGGCAGGCGCAGTACAAGAGACATGTTCATCAGAGATGTTCGGAGGTCAGGGCGCTGATTTTCAGGTTGCATTTTCGAGCCTCGGATCTTCAGGTTTGCTAAGATGATTTTGCGTGACAGGTGCGCCTTCATATGACCTGGCGTCACTTTCTTGTGGCAGGCGCAGTACTTTAGAAGGTGGAGTGGAAGAATCGCAAGACGCATTGGTACGAGGCCATCAGCTCTGCACTCAACTTTCCATTTTTGAAGGAAGTCTCGCAGAATTGCTTTGTTTTTTATGTTGTCAACTTCGAAAATTGAGGAAGTCTCGCGGACTTGTTTTGTTTTTGACGTCGTCAAGTTCAAAAATTGAGGAAGTCTCGCGGAATTGCGTTTTTGATGTTGTCAAGTTCAAAAATTGAGGAAGTCTCGCAGAATAGCTTCGTTTTCAAGCTTGCAGATAGACAGGGAGATAGACAGACAACTGCAACTACAACTACGACTTCCACTACCACTACCACTACACTACTACTACCACTACAACTGGAATATATTACGCTACATTACACTACACTAATTGCACTACACTACACTACGCCACACTACGCTGCACTATGGTACACTACACTACGCTACATTACGCTAATTACACTGCATTAATTGCACTCCACCAAAATTACTACTACTATTATAACTACTACTACTACTACTACTGCTACTACTACTACTACTACGACTACGACTACGACTACGACTACGACTACGACTACGACTACTACTACTAGTACTAGTACTAGTACTACTACTACTACTACTACTACTACGACTACGACTACGACTACGACTACTACTACTACTACTACTACGACTACGACTACGACTACGACTACGACTATTACATACTATTACTGCTTCTCCTACTACTACGACTGCTGCTACTACTGCTACTACTGCCACTACCACAGTTACAACTACGGCTACAATTACGCTACACTACACTCATTACACTGCAGCACACTACAACTACAAATGCAAATGCAACTACAACTACATTACATTACGCAACGCTACGCTACACTAATTACATTGCATTACACGCAACTTCAACTGCAACTGCGCCTACAACTACAACTACCACTACATTACACTACGCTACGCCAATTACATTACACTACAACTACAACTGCACTACTTTGCACTACACTATACTAGAGTGCACTACAAAATACGACGCTACAATACACAACACTACAGTACAGTACACTACACTACACTACGCTAATTACACCACGCCACACCTACAACTGAAACTGCCACTGCCACTGCAACTACACTACACTCATTACATCTACAACTCCACCACGCTACAACTATAACTACAACTGCACTACACACTACATCCAGCAGTTGTGGTAAGGTGACCACTGCAACCATTGCAGCCAATCAAAAAACACAACTCCAACCACCTGTCGGTCCATGAGTGGATTCGCTCTGCCATCCGTGATTCAAAACAACCAACCTCCCCTATAGGTTTCCTATTTTTGAAACTTCCGCCACCGCCTTGTGCGGTACTACTGGTAATATTATCTAGTCATAAACGCACTAGAAATGCACCAACAAACATTGATTAAGTATTGGATCTGCTCATGTTGGCCCCCCCTATAAAGATTTATAGAGGCTGTTTATTGGGGGATGGGATTAACAGGGGAGGCTCCGGATACATCTGGGCACTGTGTTGGACGGCGGGAGATGGAGAACCCAGTTCATTTGTCAGGCCCCCAGCCAGATAGCAGCCATGTACCCCTCCAACCCTTCACCGGGTTTGCACTTGTGGACATGGCCCGTTCTAATTTCCTCATCAAACGTGTTTTCAAGCCGCCCCCATCTATTAGTTTTTTTTTGCATGTTATCTAGTCTCTGAATTTGCAGTAATAAGGGGAAACACATACATGTCATTTGTCCCATAGGAATTGCGTGGTTTCACAGATTCCAGCTATCAGGGATTGCAAGTTTTTTTTTTTTTGTGCCGAGCGTTTGGAAGTCACGTGGCTTTCAGCAATCTTTTCAATGAATAGAACTCGTTTGGTGTGGCAGGCATCACCGATTGTCGGTAGACAAATTGAAAGTAGGTCAGATAGGGCTGGATCAACCATTCGGTGGCCTACCACTTTGAGACTGACTAGAAACTTGTTTCCCAAGAAACGTTTCAACTCCAACCAGGAACGATCTAGAACTTGTGTTCCAGCATCCATCTTCCAAGACGCAAGTGCCAGGTACGTTAACACACCCGCCCACCCCTCACCCCATGGTGACATGACGCAAGTTCCAAGCGAACGAGTCAACTTCAACAGAAGAAAGCAAACATGCAGTAAAAAAACTCACGGGCTGTTGCGGGCGGTGGTCCAACTACCCCGTGTAGGCGCGGTGCGTTTTTAATGCCAAATGCCTTCCAAAACCTGTTTTCCCCACATGTTTTCACAATATTTCACAATTCACGTTCCAAGAGGGGCCTCCGACACAACTTTTTTCACCTCATCGCAGGTACTCTGCCTTCAAAGCTGTGCGCAGGTGAGAGACACATTGGTCTTTCCCTTGAGATCGCCACTGCCAACTTATTATGTAAGAGAAGATCTTACAGTTACAGCGTAGCATCAAGTGTGTGTGTGTGTGCAAGTGCAAGAGAATATTTTCCAGCGTAGCGTCAAGTGTGCGTGTGTATGTGTGTGTAACATCTGTATAGATGTAAAACCTCTCCTTTTTCTTTTTTCTCTCCTTCTTGTTTTCATGAGTTTCAATGGTTTTGTGCAGGGAGCAGTGGCCCACGCATGAGTCCACTGCCAACGAAGCTACTCATGGGTTGGGAGGATATCGGGACTGATCACCCCGACGTACCTGCAGAATTTTCCATTTGCGACTGATGGCAGGGGGCTAAGCCAAGAACCCCAACCAATTTGTAACTTTGGTTTTACACGATTTTATTTGACGTCATGGCGAAGCCGAGAACCCTACAGCGACTATTTTTCGTATTTGGACCTTATTTGCTGGCGTTTCTGGTCGCGCTGGTCATTTCGGAGTACTTTCCTTTATTCGAATGATACTACTTAGGTTATTGTGTTTCCCGTCTATTTTGCACGTGAAAGGACTCAGTTCCTGATGGATCACTTAAAAGACCTAATTTTGTCTAGTGTGATTCCTATGGTGGCTCCGACATGGTGCCATAAGGCCATGAGGCATCCCTGTTTAGGGAGAATGAGGACAGCCTTGACTCCGGAAGTGACACTTTCTAGTAATTCGTCTAATATTGTGCAACAGTAGGCCTTTTAGTTTTTCACCATTTTGTGCGGTCCTGCGGCTCCCGCCGTCCTTTGTGAACCTTCGGAATCTTCATCTCTTCGCGTCTACAGCCGTACCGAACAGCCACAAACTTTTTTCGCTGCTGCTCCAGCTTCTACAGAGCACGTTGACATGAACCATGACAGGCGATAGGATGCGATAGGCATGTCCTTTTCCAGCAGGTAAGGTCTTTTTGGTATCTGGTGAGGTTGAACATTTTGCGCCCCCAACTCAATGGAACTTGAATAGCCGTTTATGCCCATGTGGCTGGACTTGACCACGGTCCCTTTTTGGGAACAACGCGCGATTATCTAGGGTTGAACTGGGTCCTTTTAATTTTAATTGTTCTGGTTGTTTCACCCTGGTCACCAACTAGTCCCCCATTCGGTCCCTAATTCTTCCCCCGTGCCCCTCTGTAATGTGTCGTGGGGTTGAGGTGTGTGCCCTGTTCCGGTCAGGTCCGTCTCGCCGCATAGGTTGGTTCTGGAGGTCCCTTCGTTCCCTTCCCCCTCCTGCGCTGTTTTTGCCTTTGCCCGTCATTTGTGTCCGCTTTTTTCTTCCTCTTGCCTTTCAGGGTTGGCCCGGCTCAGGCCGGGTGTGTGTGTGTGTAACATCTGTATAGATGTAAAACCTTTCCTTTTTCTTTTTTCTCTCCTTCTTGTTTTCATTGTCATCAGTTTCAATTGTTTTGTGCAGGGGGCAGTGGCCCACGCATGAGTCCACTGCCAACGAAGCTACTCATGGGTTGGGAGGATATCGGGACTGATCATCCCGACGTACCTGCAGAATTTTCCATTTGCGACTGATATGGCAAGGGGCTAGGCCAAGAACCCCAACCAATTTGTAACTTTGGGTTTTACACGATTTTATTTTTCGTATTTGGACCTTATTTGCTGGCGTTTCTGGTCGCGCTGGTCATTTCGGAGTACTTTCCTTTATTCGAATGATACTACTTAGGTTATTGTGTTTCCCGTCTATTTTGCACGTGAAAGGACTCAGTTCCTGATGGATCACTTAAAAGATCTAATTTTGTCTCGTGTGTGTGCAAGTGCAATAGAAGATTTTAGAGCGTAGCATCAAGAGTGTGTGTGTGTGAGTGTGTGTGCAAGTGCAAGTGCAAGTGCAAGAGAAGATCTTACAGGGTAGCATCAAGTGTGCAATGGGCAAGTGTGAGTGCAAGCGAAGATCTTACAGCGTAGCATCAAGTGTGTGTGTGTGTGTGCAAGTGCAAGATGGAAACCTGCAGCGCAGTGTCAGTGCGGTGACTTCCCCACACCACCCGCCCCATTTTCCCCGACAAGAAAAAACATATGGTCATTCGATGGCGATTTCTCACTGACGCGCGCAACTTCTAACTGAAGGGCGCAACTTCTAACTGACGAACACAACCTCTAACTGACGGAAGGGCACAACTTCTAACTGACGGGCACAACTTCTAACCGACGGGCACAACTTTCAACTGACGGGCAGGACGTGTATGAAATGTTCAAAAAAGGACAACCCTCCGCAACGCCCTCGTGGGGTAGATACCAAAATCAAACAGTATTCATCATACATCATCATGCTCACCCACCCTCAGAACTAATCTGACCATATCTGACCCTTTGCAAAACCTCGGTCCGAATCGGCCAGGTCCAGGTAAGGAGATCAAGAAGCAGCACCATCAGGTGGTTTCAAGCAATGGTGACTCATCCAGCCTTCGACGTGTTTTTCGCCGCGCTTGTGGGTTTGAACACTATTTTTATGGGCATTGATGCGGAACTGCAGTTAGCTGATCATATTGAGCAAGGTGAATCAGTGGCGTTAAGTGTCACGCGTAGAATTTTCACAGTTGCCTTCACAGCCACTTGGCTGAATGGGGGCCGACCTTGATTGGTGCCTAGCACCAACACCTTTCCAGATTCTTTGCTGTTGGCTTCTCCACACTGAAGCTTTACACTTTACACCTGGCATAATGACCGATTTTGGGGTGACCTCAGCGGTGACGTACTCATTTTGCATTGCTCAGGTGGAGCTCGTCTTGCGGATTGTGGCGCACGGCCGGGATTTCTTCTGCAAGGTGAACTTTTGGAACTGGTTAGATACCGCCACTCAGCAAGATACGGCCAGATCAAACCATATCAAACCACTGGTTGAGGTCAGCGGTCGGGTTTTGAAACTACAAAGGGATGGGGTCAGTTTCTACAAACTTGAGGGTCATCCAGCAGTGCAAAGCCAGTTCAAAAAAACTCCTGATTTTGCCAGCCTTCACCGTATCAGGGAACACTGCCAGTACCTAGCTTCTGTTGGTAATTCATTGCATGATCTCAGGCAGGGGCATGGGTTTTTCCATCACACCAAGCAGCCCTGGGCCTTTCCATTCCTGGGTATTTCCTCTGTAAACCTTGGTGGTTTTGATCACTTTGGAGGGCCATTTATTTAGGGATTTTTTTTTTGTTTAGGGATTTTTTTTTGGATTTCTTCCTGCTTACTCTATTGCCTCCTGCAGTGCTTCTCTGCTTCTTTGCTTCTATTCCTTTTTTTACTTTTCTTGCTTTTCTTTGCTTTTTTGCTTTTTTGCTTCCCTTGCTTTTCTTTGCTTTTCTTTGCTTTTTTGCTTTTTTGCTTTTCTCGCTTTTCTGCTTTTCTTTGCTTTTTTGCTTTTCTTGCTTTTCTTTGCTTTTTTGCTTTTTTGCTTTCCTTGCTTTTTTTTGCTTTTCTCGCTTTTCTGCTTTTCTGCTTTTCTTTGCTTTTTTGCTTTTCTTTGCTTTTTTGCTTTTTTGCTTTTTTGCTTTTCTTTGCTTTTTTGCCTTTCCATGAGGTGTGGAGCAACACCAACAACAACAACAACAACACCACCCCCCACCACCTACCACAGCCACCACGCACCACCACCACCCACCACCACCAAGCAACCACAACATAGCGAACCAACACCAACACCAAACACCAACAACAACACCAACACCACACACAACACCACAACAACACCACAGACCAAGCCCCCAACAGCAACAACAACAACACCACTAAACAACAACAACAACAACAACAACACCACCACCAACAACAACAACAACGCAACAACAACAACAACAACAACAGCAACAACAACGACAACAACAACAACAACGACAACAACAACAAAACAACACTACAACACACACAAACAACAACAACACCAACAACAACAACAACACACCACAACAACAACAACAACAACACAACACACAACAACACAACAACACACACACTCACACTAACACACAACAACACAAACTAACAACACAACAACACTAACAACACACAACAAACACCAACACAACAACACAACACAACAACAACAACAACAGCAACAACAACAACACCACTAAACAACAACAACAACAACAACAACAACACCAACAACAACAACAACAACAACAACAACAACAACCAACAACAACAACAACAACAACAACCAACCACCAACAACAACAACAACACCACCAGCAACAACAACAACAACGACAACAACAACAACAACAACACCACCACCACCACCAACAACAACACCACCACCACCACCAACAACAACAACACTAACACAACACTAACACAACACTAACACAACACTAACACAACACTAACACAACACTAACACAACACTAACACAACACTAACACAACACTAACAACACTAACAACACTAACAACACTAACAACACTAACATTAACACTAACAACAGCAACAACAACAGCAACAACACGACCACCACCACCACCACCAACAACAACAATACCACCAACAACAACAACACCAACACCAACAACAGTAACAGTAACAACAAACAACTGTTGGAATGTCAGCCTTCAGCTCCAAAATCCTGCAAGTACTGTGAGGAATGTAGCTGTAAAATGTTGCACATACGGTGGAAATGCAGATTCCAGCTCAAAAATGCTGCAAAGAGCATGGAAAATGGACAGAACATGCTGCAAACTGTTGCAAATACCGTGGAAAATGAGAGGTTCGAACTCAAAACCGTTGCACATACCGTGGAAATGGCAGTTTCCAGCTCCAAAATGCTGCAAATAGCATGGAAAATGGTGAGAACCGGAAATCCAAAAAAAATTCCCCAAACTAAAAAAAAAAATCCCCAAACAATTTCCTACCCATTTTGAAAGATTGGGGGTACATGGAATTCAGCTGTGGCCCAAACATGTTGAATAGCCCACCATTGCTGAAGGTAGCTTGATGTATAGACGCCTTTGATCTAACTTTCAGCTGGGTGGGTTCGATGATATTGACACTATCTGTTAGATGTAGCTTATCACGCACCATTTTTGTATTGGAGAATGAATGCGGCTGATAGATTCTCGTCAAAGATATCTGAATATTATATATATATATATCTTGTAAGTATGTATATTTATTTATTTATATATATATTGTTTGTTTGTTCATTGTTTGTTAATTTATTTTTGTCTTTGTTCATTAATTATTAATTTCTTGATATTTCTTGATTGGTTTACTTTTGTCAATTTTTATATGTATATATTTATCATTTTTTGATGTATATGTTTGTTTCTTCGAAGGAAGATTAGAATCCAAACTTCCGACAATATGGACAGATGGAAAAACAGAGGTTGGAAAAGCAGAGGTGGGAAGAGCCAGGGAAGAGAAAGGAAGAAAGAAAAGCCGAGAAGGAAAGTCAGAAACAAGAAGATGCAAGCGCGCGAAAAGGTAGAAAAGTCGCGGGACACTGTGTTTTTTCCAATGTTTTGTGGCCCCTTTGGGCCGAAAACTAGGCTACGCCGTTGTGGCGCGAAGCACGTTTCGAAGTCAAAATGCCAAGAACAGCACATGTCCGGACCACTTATGAGCCGCGAAGTACATTCGCAAGTCAAGAGTGTTAAAAACTTGACGGTCTCGGACCACTTTTTGAAGTTAGGATGCGGTTTGGCCTGGCAGGGACAATGGATTCTGCTCTTTGCCACAAGTGAGCAAAACGTGTTTCAAACATGTCTTAGAAAATTGGAGATGATTCTTCGGACAAAAATCATTGACAATGTTCCTGTATGTTGTTGTCGGTTCTCGTTTTCTGCTTCTGCTGCCACCTCCTTGTCGATGTTCCTGCCCGATGGTTCTCACATAAAAAGAGTGGGAGACACATGGATCGAGGGATGGATAGAAGGACACTTCGATAGATACATAGAAATATAGACAGATCGATGGAAGGTTAAAAAGGTAGATAAGAAGATGGATAGCTGGATCGATAGATGTAATGGTAGAATGATGAGCAGGCAGATAAATGGATAGAAGGACAACAAGATACATCGTTTGATGGAAAGATAGATAGGCAGAGAGAGAGAGAGAGGTAGAGACGTAGATAGACAGAGAAGGCGATAGATCATCAGAGAAATGGATGGACAAGGAGTCAAGCAGACAGATAGAGACAGTTAGAGACACTTGGAAAGAGACGAGCAGGAGACAATGAGAGACTCAGGGCCTCCAACAACCTGTCGCTCCGTAAGCGGGTTCGTTCTGCCATCCATGCGTCGCACCAACTCACCTCTCCTATAATTTCCTATTTTTCGAAGCTTCCGCCACCGCCTTGTGCAGTCCTACGGGTTTTTCATTTATTTATTCACTGATTTATTGATTTTAATTATGTATATTTATTTACTGCATGTATGTATGTATGTATGGATGGATGGATGGATGGATGTACAGTATGTAATGTATGTATTTATGTAATGTAATGTAATGTAATGCAATGCAATGTAATGTAATGTAATGTAGATATGCAAGTAGTGTATGTATGTATGTATGTAAGTATGTATGTATGTATGTATGTTTGTATGTATGTATGTATGTATGTGTGTATGTATGTATGTATGTATGTATGTATGTATTAATGTATGTATGTATGTATGTATGTATGTATGTATGTATGTATGTATGTATGTATGTATGTGTGTATGTATTGTAATGTATGTATTGCAATGTATGTATTGTAATGTATGTATTGTAATGTATGTATTGTATGTATTGTATGTATTGTAATGTATGTATTGTATGTATTGTATGTATTGTATGTATTGTATGTATTGTATGTATTGTATGTATTGTATGTATTGTATGTATTGTATGATCAAACCACTGGTTGAGGTCAGCGGTCGGGTTTTGAAGCTATAAAGGGATGGGGTCAGTTTCTACAAACTTGAGGGTCATCCAGCTGTGCAAAGCCAGTTCAAAAAACTCCTGATTTTGCCAGCCTTCACCGTATCAGGGAACACTGCCAGTACCTAGCTTCTGTTGGTAATTCATTGCACGATCTCAGGCAGGGGCATGGGTTTTTCCATCACACCAAGCAGCCCTGGGCTTTCCATTCCTGGGTATTTCCTCTGTAAACCTTGGTAGTTTTGATCAATTTTGAAAGATTGGGGGTGCATGGAATTCAGCTGTGGCCCAAACATGTTGAATGTAATGTAATGAAATGTAATGTAATGTATGTAATGTAGTGTAGTGTAATGTAATGTAATGTATTGTACTGTAATGTAATGTAATGTAATGTAATGTATGTAATGTAATGTAATGTAACGCAATGCAATGTAATGTAATGTATGTAATGCAATGTAATGTATGTAATGTATGCACTGTATTTTTGAATGAATATTAATGTATGTAATGTATGCAATGTAATGTATGTATGTAATGTAATGTAATGAAATGTAATGTAATGTAATGAAATGTAATGACATGTAATGTAATGTAATGTATGTAATGTAGTGTAGTGTAGTGTAGTGTAATGTAATGTAATGTAACGTTTGTAATGTAATGTAATGTAATGCAATGCAATGTAATGTAATGTATGTAATGCAATGTAATGTATGTAATGTATGTAATGTATGTAATGTATGTAATGTATGTAATGTCTGTAATGTATGTAATGTATGTAATGAATGTAATGTAATGTAATGTAATGCAATGTAATGTAATGAAATGCAATGTAATGTATGTAAAATATGTATTGTATGTAATGTATGTAATGTATGTAATGTATGTAATGCATGTAATGTATGTAATGTATGCAATGTATGTAATGTATGTAATGTATGTAATGTATGTAATGTATTTTTGAATGTGTGTATAAATGTATGTAGTGTATGTAATGTATGTAATGTATGTAATGTATGTAATGCATGTAATGTATGTAATGTATGTAATGCAATGTAATGTATGTAATGTATGTAATGTATGTAATGTATTTTTGAATGTGTATATAAATCTATGTAATGTATGTAATGTATGTAATGTATGTATGTCTGTATGTATGTATGCATGTATGTATGGAGGTATGTAGGTATGTATGTATGTGTGTGTGTGTTTGTTTGATTGATTGTTTGATTGTTTGTTTGTTTGTTTGCTTTTTCAATATTTTTATTTGCGTATTGTCTTCACTCACTTTCTATTTGTTAAATTGTTTATTTGTTCTGGATGAGTTCTTTTTGGTATTTATTTACCAGTAGCTCAGTAGTACTGCACAAGGCGGTGGCGGAAGTTTCAAAGATAGGACACCTACAGGAGAGGTTGGTTGTTGTGAATCACGGATGGCAGAGCGACGCCACTCATGGACTGAAAGGGCCTTGAGGCTCTGAGTCTCCTCTCTTTCTCTCACTATCTATCTGTCTATCTGTGTATCTACCTGCCTACCCTAGCTAGCTAGCAATCTATCTATCTGTCCATCTATCTATCTATCTATTTATCTATCTGGCTATCTTTCTATCCGTCATTATCTGTCTATATATCTATCTGCCTATTTATCTGCCTATCTGTCTATCTGTCTATCTATCCATCCGTCTGGCCATCAATCTATCCATCTATCTACCTCTCCCATTATCTGTCTATCTACCTCTCTCCCTCTCTCTATCCATCCATCCGTCTATTCATCTATCTACGTACCAATCTTCCTATCTACCTACCTATCTACCCATCTTATGTATCCATCCATCCATCTAGCTATCTATCGATCTATCTATCTGACCATCGCTTTACCTATCTATCTGTCTCAAAGCTCAAGATCAATTCGGCAAAATGCAATTTCTCTCAGGCCCTCAACGAAGCAATTCCGCGAGACTCCCCCAAATTTTGCAGCTGACAACATCCAAAACGAAGCAATTCTGGGAGACTTCCTTAATTTTCAAAGTTGACAACATCAAAATGAAGCAATTCTGCGAGACTTCCTTCAAAAATGGAAGGTCGAGTGAAGAGCTGACGGCCTCGTGCCAATGCGTTTTGCAATTTTTCTGTTCCATCTGAGAATCTGTCTACAGTACTGCGCCTGCCCCGAAAAAGTGAAGCCAGGCCATACGAAGTGCTGCACTTGTCATGCAAAATCACCTTAGCAAAAAAGAAGATTTGATGCTCCAAAATGCAGCCCATCTCAGAAAATCAGCGTAATATGTCTGACTCATATTGCGCCTGCCACGCGAAATGCATCTTTTCTGATCCTCTTCAAATGTCCCACACTTGCCATGCTACAGGGCTCTCACGTTTCGCTCATTTTTGGCAGGGTGCACAATCCCTCGCGCCTGCCATGCGAAACGACTTCTAAACGTCTACGGGACCGTCGGTTTTCAACACTTTCACTTTTGGCGTCAAAGTGTGCTTCGCGCCACAACGGCGTGCACTTTTCCAAAAGTGCTCCGAGAATGGTGTGTTTTGTACATTTTGACTTCGAAATGTGCTTCGCACCGCAACGGCGTCCACTTTTTCAACAGCTCAACTTCCAAAAGTGGTCTGAGACCATCATTTTTCAACTTTTGACTTCCAAATGTGCTTCGCGCCGCGACGGCGTGCAATTTTTCAGCATCTCAACTCCCAAAAGTGCTTTGGGCGTGGGGTGCTTTTGGCTTTTTGACTTCGAAATTTGCTTCGCGCCACAACGGCGTGCAATTTTTGATGTCTCATCTGGTGGCTTCGCACCCGCCGCTTTAGCGAGCCTACTTTTAGACCCTCCGGAGCCCCAAAACATTTTTTCTTCACTGTCTCGAATTTTCTACCTTTTCGCGCGCCTGCTCTTTCTTCTGACTCTTTTTCAGCTCTGATCTTCTTTCTTCTTCTCTTCTCGGACTCTTCCACATATGCTTTTTCATCCGTCCATACTAACTATTTGTTAATTTACTTAGTTATTATGTGTCTATTGATTGGGTTGTTCATTTTTTATTTATTCGTTCATATTTTTAGTTGCTTTTTTTTTAAAATTATTTTGGTTAAATTCATTTTTGATTCTTTTATTCATTTAGTTATTGTTTATTAAGTGCCGTATGCATATTAGATATACGGACGCCCCATTTTCTTGAACCTTTGAGGTCATCGTGGTGGCTGGGCTAGCGGAGGCCACCTTCGATGTGATCCACGCAGCGGCGGGTGAGGCCAATGTGCCATCCATGGTGAGTTGCCACGAGAAATTCATGGGAGGATGGTGAGAAAATGCTGGCGTTTCATGGGGTATAACTTGATGCAACCAAGAAACATGGTGTTTTTTTTGGGATATCATCGGGATACACGTTTTTTCTTGACTATCTGGTAGTTAGGAGGGAGCCGTGCGGAGCCATTTGGAGCTACGAATAGAGTTTCTCAACCACATTATAGCAATGAATTTTATGGGAATCATGGGATGAAATGCAAAATTTTTAATTCATTATGGCTCGTAACGGAGGTTGGATGTGGACTTTTCCCCACATCTGTGTGTGGGGTTCTTGTTTTTGGTTCTGTGTCCTGTCACCTGTCCGTGTCCGCTTCCCGTCCTCGTCCGCAGTCTTTCACACGCATACAACTTTGTCACACGCAATCTCTTACAACTTTGTCAGGCGCAGTCTCTCACACAATCTTGTACAACTTTGTCACACACACAATCTCTTTCACACACAACTTTGTAACACGCACACACACACACAATCTCTTTCACACACAACTTCGTCACGCACAATCACACACACACAACTTTGTCAGACACAACTTTGTCACGCACAATCTTTCGAGGACATCTCTTTCACATTCTTTCACACATCTGCTTTTGCGTGGCAGGCGTGGCACTCTGTGACATCGATTGGTCCGGTTTGGGCACGGCGGGCTTTGTGGCAGGCATGGCACTTGGTGACATCGACAGTAGCTTGTGAGCGGCAAGCGTGGGACTTGGTGACATCGACGTCGCTTTTGCGTGGCACGTGGTACTTGGTGACATCGACGCTGCTTTGCGCTGCTTTTGCGTGGCAGCCGTGGCACTTATGGCACTGGGCTGGCTCTGGTGGCGCGCTTGGTCGTCGTTGGTTCGATTTGGGCGCCGCTGGCTTTTGCGTGGCAGGCAGCACTTGGTGACATCGACAGTAGCTTTTAAGCGTGGAAACCGCTTTTGCGTGGCAGGTGTATCCCCGTTGCAGCCAGCTGGCTAGAATCCCTGGGCTAGTGCCCACTGGCTATAGCCAGCTAAGAATTTAAGCCAGGCAAATCTTGAAGCCCCTGGGGGTAGGAACAAAGAAATTTAGCCAGGTTACATGGGAAGACAACAAGTTTGAAATCATGGGCTAGCATGATGCATATAAGGAGCCAGGGCCCCTGAACTTTAGCCAATACAAGTTTTTCTGTAGGTATCGTTTGTGATTTTGGAAGAAGCAGGAAGGGGCTGGATCATATTTGGTTCTTTTGTTTAAAACAAACAAACCATACAAATCTAGCCGGTGGTTCTTCAACTTGCTGAAGACAGCTAGAGCCTGACACCAATGCGCAAGTTTCTGCACACTGACTGCAAAATGATAAAGCATTGTCTGTGGCTCCTCGGCCGACCAGTGGGAGAAGTTTCGTTTGCTTTCGTTTCGCCTTTTGGTATTTCTTGTTAGCTTGGTGGTTTCTTCACAAATTTTTACATCTAATAAAAGGAATACCTTTGCTGGTTTACATCACGCGTGCCCCAAGATTAACCAGCCTTTCAAGTCGGCATGTGATCTGCAGCGTCTTTCATTGGATGGGTCGCTAGCAGCTTCTTTCTCTCCTGCCAGGAACAGCTAGGTGTTTGCTATAAAGATTCCTCGGTGCTGCTGTTCGATTTTTTTTAGGACAGATGCACCACCATGGCCTCTAACTAAACTTCCTTGTGCTGCCCAAAAACACCTTATCCAGTGAATTTAGCCATGGACCCCCCCTTCCCACAGTTCTTTGAAAACAGGAGCATTCCCCTGGCTAAACTTCCTTGTGCTGCCCAAAAACACCTTATCCACCAGAGCCCCAGGGAATTTAGCCATGGGCCACCCTTCCCACACCTTTTGAATACAGGAGCATTCCCCAGGATTGGTTTCACCATGAAGTTTCGCTAAACTTCCTTGTGCTGCCCAAAAACACCTTATCCACCAGAGCCCTAAGGAATTTAGCCGTGTGCCCCCTTCCCCTACTTTTTCAGAGGGCAACACCGGCCTGGTGGCAAAGCTGGGTGTTCCTTCCCTCTCTTTGCATCCCCTGCACCTGGACCGAGACACTTGTGCTGGGAACAAAACCCGAAAACCATCTAATCCACATATATCACACATATCCAGCTGTAGTAGTAGACAATATCTGATATATATATATATGATATCAAGATGAGCTATAGAAATTCATCGGTGCTGCTGTTCTTATTTTTAAAAGGAAGATGCACGACCATGGCCTCTGGCTAAATTTCTTTTTGTCGACCAAAACCCCAGCAGCCACCAGTCCCCCAGGGAATTTAGCCATGGGCCCCCCTTCCCACACTTTTTGAAAACAGGAGCATTCCCCAGGATTGGTTTCACCATGAAGTTTGGCTAAACTTCCTTGTGCTGCCCAAAAACACCTTATCCACCAGAGCCCTAAGGAATTTAGCCGTGTGCCCCCTTCCCCCACTTTTTGAGAGGGCAACACCGGCCTGGTGGCAAAGCTGGGTGTTCCTTGCCTCTCTTTGCATCCTCTGCACCTGGACCGAGACACTTGTGCTGGGAACAAAAACCCAAAAACCATCTAATCCACATATATCACGCATATCCAGCTGTAGTATGGGACAATAACTGATATATCTGATACCATGATTATCTGTAGTTTGGGGATGGGGTATACGCTTGGGAGATTTGGCGCGCACATGCCATATCCACATTATCCAGATGATGCAGATTAATCAGAGAGAACTTTCCATTTTTTTTGTGCGTCAAGTTGGTGTGTGGGTTTCCTCTTGTCAATGTGGATGCTCCGACTGTATCAACTGTTTTTGATGTTTTATTCATCTTGTTTTTGCGCGTTCAAGATGCCAAAACACACAAGAAAATTCTGATCACTCTGATCGCTTGATCAATTCGAGCGCGCAGGCCCAGAAAACATGTAGCAGTGCTCGAACCCCTTCTTGGATCTGTGGGTAGGTGATTGTCTTGGATCTGTGGGTAGGTGATTGTAGGGAGAGCTACCCTACCCAATGTAATCAATATGTTGGTTTTTACCATGAAAAACTCAAGGGAATATCGGGAACCATAATTACCCAAAAAAATTGACCCATGTTCACTTGTGTGTTTTTCAGGGTTTCTTGTTTGTTTTGACCTGTGGTTTGCATATGTTTGCATGTTTGGAGCTGAACCTAGGTTCCAAGAAATTTAGCCCGGCAAGTTGTGACACTGTTGACTTAAAATTGTGTTTGGCTAAATTTTCGGGTCCTAGCCCCAGAGGGACTAGGGCCAGGAGATTTAGCCTGGGAAAAAAACCAATGATCCTCGCCCTCACAGAAATTTAGCCGGCTAAATTTTGGGTACTACCCCTGGTACGTAGTACAAACCCGGATCAGGTGTGGCACTCAGTGACATTGACGCTGCTTTGCGCTGCTTTTGCGTGGCAGGCGTGGCACTTATGGCACTGCCTGGTCCGGTTTGGGCGCCGTGGGCTTTTGCGTGGCAAACGTGGCACTGGGTAAATCTTGGTCTTCGTAACATCGACAGTTGCTTTTGCGTGGCAGGGGTGGCGCTTATATGGCACTTGGCGTGGCAGGCGTGGCACTTGGTGACATCGACTTTCGTTTTACGTGGCAAAGCGTGACAATGGATGGCGTGCAAGCCATG